TGTCTTCTTAATGACTTTTTGCTCTCTTCATGTATGATGTTCTTGGATGTCATCCCACAACTCTTCTGGTCTTCGGTCTTTAGTGTTTAATGCATCAAATCTGTTCTTCAGATGATCTCTAAATTCAGGTGAGACAAAACCACTTAACAGTCACAAAATGCTAACAAACCTTCAAAAGAATCAAGTTCCTCTGATATACACTCTGCCAGTGTGTCCCATGAATTTCATATATTAATCTGTGTGTTAGCCCACTCTATAAAGCATCTAAGGACAATACTTCATTCCATTTTGGAAGTTCTTTGGCCCACAGTTAAAGCCATTCTTTTTTCCAAAGCTGGAAACACCAATGCATAGTCATACTCTATAAGTGTACATATTGGTTAAACATACGGTTTTTTAGAAAGTCTACTCATTCACTCGAAAATGGTTTTCAGCAAAACTTCAGCTTATCAAAAGCTCCATTTGGGACTATAATGGTCAAAGATTGAAAATAACATGGGAAATTCTGGGGTATGGGATTTGTGCCACATTTGAAATGACCATTGCTGTCACTACAAGTATTTAGTACAAGTATTCTTATACACAGAAGTGGAAATGAATTGAACGGAGTCCCAGGCGGAAATAGCCACTCCACATTACAAGGGAGAGGTCACCTTCCTTCCCAAAGCCACTCCACCTCTCTAGATTGAATAGACTTTAAACAGAAAGATGGTTTTCCTGGCCAGTGGCTGAGAGGAAGGGCCACCACATAAAGATCTGATGTCCTTCTGAAACGGTGTCCAAACAGGATTTGGAGCTTCCGTTTTTATCCACTCTCACTTAATAAATGTTGGTGTTAAAGTTGAACACAATGAATAAAAAAGCAGGATAATAATCGGCCAAGCTGACTTTGGTCCAATTTAGCTTTGCCTCAAACTACAGATGTTGTACAGTCATCTTAAAATTTCCATGGTTTCTTAAGGGTTAGGAAGGTCAACTTAAGAACAAGAGCTATCAGTAAAAAATGAAATATTCCACACCAAAAGGAGAAGGGTTTTTTGTTTTGTTTTTGTTTTGCTTTTTTTAAAAATTTTGCTAAATGTCCACTTTCACTTTCTTGAGGCCGTTGCATGTGTCAGCAAAGCACAGAATTCACATAGGGGCATTAAAGCAGTCATTCAACATACATTTAAATACTATCAAAGCTATTGTGTTTAAAAATGCAATATAAAATCAGCTTTAAAAATACAAGTTAAAAACTTTAACATTTATAAAGAGACTTAAAATTATAGGAAAAAAAAGAAACTGTAGAAATTTAACTTCCAAAAACATCACAATCCCTTTCCCTACCAGAAATTTGTTGTGTACTTTTCTAAATTATTACTGAAAATTTATATCTGTAAGCATTCCCTGGGGAAAAAAGTATTTAAAATTTTAGTCTAAGAGACAAATTCTATATATTCTATAATTTATTTTTCATCATTAATATGATTTGTCAATTTATCTATATTAACATATAGATCTGCCTTGTTTCTTTGAACTGCTATATAATATTCAAGCTATGACTAATCCACAATTTATTAATTATTGACATAATACTCAAGTTATGAATAAAACCACAATTTATTAATTATCTACGTAATATTCAAGCTATGAATAATCCACAATTTATTAATTATCTACATGAACATTTGGTTGGTCAATTTTTTTCACTGACTGCTGCAAATAATAGCTTTTGAAAAAGGTAAAAGGTAAGAAGAAGAGAAATTTTACCAGTTTATGACTATATATTTGGGTTATGAACAGATCAACACATTTGAATACATAATAAGATTAACAACTGCAAAAATAATCCATGAGAGTAGTTTAAGAACATTACCACGTTCCACTGCTTTTATAATGAAATTAGTAACACACACAAAAAAAACAAAATAGTTATTTTGTAACACACCAACTGCCAAACAGCTGTTGTTTGAATTTATAGAATAGGAAATGAAAGTAAATATATTATGATGTCTAAAATCATACCACTGTGTCATTGTAGGTCAACACTGGACTGCTCACCACAAAGTTGACGGTTCAAACCCACCAAGCACTCCTTAAAACCCTGTACAGGATTGTTAGGAGTTAGAACTGACTCAATGACACTTAACAACAACATAATTTATTAATCTGAGAATTATTTCTAGCAATTTGTAATATTTAAACATCTATTAAATAGGACAAGTTAAGCACAATAAATAAACTAAACAATAAAAAAAATTGGTTCATGTTATTGTTGTTGTTTTTGTTAAGTGCTGTTGAGTCGTTTCTGACCCACAGTG